GCTGGCTGGTAACAAGGTTTTTTTCCTTATAATTTCATATATTGTATTCTCATCATATTCACTCATCCAATGGCAAGAATGTTTATTCTTATGCATGTTCTGTGTTTAAAATGTAATAGATAGAAGGGCTGGGAGATGGTTCACAGGTTAAAATGACTGATGCACAAGCAGATACACTGAGGTTTGGATCACCAGGTAGGCAAAGCCAGGATCTTCATTTCCAGCCTTGGAAAAAATGACAGAGTACTCCTGGATAGGGAGACTAGTATTAATTGAGAGCTCTGGGTTTCATTGAGAGACCCTGCTTCCATGATGTACCTATAGAAGAAGAATCCCAACATCATCTTGGGCCTTCACATGTACATGCATACAAAGGGGCACACACACACACACACACACACACACACACACACACAAAGAAAACTATTAGAAAGTCATAAATCCCACACACAAAAAGAAAAGTGCAAGACACACTTAAGGTTTACTTGCCAAAAATTTTGGAAGAAGTCAAAGCATCCTTATTTGCAGATGAACATGATTCCTTACATCCAAGTTCCTTAAGACTCAACCAGGAAAAAAAGAAAAAGAAAAAAGACTCAATCAGAAAATTCATAGAACTCTCAGAAGAGAATCAAAATATAAAATTAACATACAAAAATCAGTAGTCTTCATACACACTAATATCAAACATGCTGAGGAGGATATTAGGGAAATAATTCCTTTCACTATTGCCTCGGAAAATACCTTAAAATGCCCAAGGAAATTAAATATCTCTACAATGAAACCTTTAAAGCATTCAAGATATAAATTGAAGAGATTGGAAGAATTAATATTGTGGAAATGGCTACCTTACCAAAAGCCCCTATACTTCAAGAACTCCAAATTCTCTAAATCTATTTCTTGCTTAATCTCCTCAAGCATATATCTTATAGCTCTATGTCAGAATTCTGTTTATAAATATATAGATATATGCATAATTAAGCATACGTATGCTTAAAACAAAATAGTGTCAAATTTTATAGCATTCGTTGTTACATATAATTATATAACCATGGCTTATGTAAAAGTAGAATTTATATAAAATAAATTTCAACAGGTCTAGATAATAATAAGATTTTAAAGGTTAACTTTTATTTATAAGTATGTGTGTGCCTGTGGGAGTGGATGCCAGGATTGTTAAAATGCCCTGGGAAACATGAAGTAGGGGGAGATCCCTTTGGCTTGGAGTTACAGATGGTGGTGAGTCACTTGACATGGGTGCTGGGAACAGAATTCAGGTCCTCTGGAAGAACAGTAAGCACTCTAAATCACTAAGCCATTTCTCTCGTCCTTACATTTACATTTTTAATGAAAATTTAGTATTAATGCAAACTCCAATGTTAATGTTCTAGTGATTGTATCAAGAACAGTACAGACCACAGAAAGTGATTAGCCAGCTGAGAATGACAGCCTGGAAAAACAGAAATTATGTCAGCAAGACAGCAATTGGGAATTTTAATGTTGGTACACTTGAAGACGCCTGTGAGTCTGAACAACTATCCACTCACCTTCACAGGAGCAAAAAAGGAAAAAAGAAAAAGGAAACAAACCAGGTGGATGATTATAGATAGCATCTGCAGGGAGCATAAATATAAGAACAGATGCATGTGAATTTCAACCTGTCACTCAATGCCTGTTTTGTTTTTAATATTTGATCACATAGTGAACTTAAGGTTTTATCTGATTAGGCATAAATACTTATGAATAATTACTTATATAACAGTAATTACAGGTATATTCCTTCCCCTCCATGGTTTGTTTTTATGGTCCAGGATTTGCTCTCACTACAGGAAAATTTTCATCCTCATATACTTCCAGGTCAAAACTGAGAATACAAACACGTCTCAGGGCAGTCTGCAGTTTATCATATCACAATTATCTTGACTCAGAGCAACGCTTTTTTTTTCTTTTCCTACTTCAGATCTTGATCTCAAATCTACCAAGAGTTTTCATTTGTAGAACTTGGTACCACCTCAGACTGGCCAGGCATGACACACAATGGCTGAACATCTACTGCTACTGAAAAGTCTGCTTTCAGGAATTCAGTCTAGTGGCAAATAAAAGTATGCTCACTGATGGGCATGATAATTCCAGCATGACTGAGGCAAAGGCAGAATGATCAAGAGTTGTAGGCTAGTCTGGACAACATAGCCAATGGGCCTGAGCTACATGGGGAGACTACCAACAACAACAACAAATTAAACTAAGAAATACAAGTGGCAATGCAAAAAAGCGCTATATTTGGATCTTCTCTCCTAAATTCCATTTATTATCTGAGGCAGAAGGAGAAGGAGGAGGGCTTCACACCTATGAAAGGGACCCAAGAATGAGTGGGAATCTAAGGGCAAAAAGAGGCTAACAAGGAAAGGAAGGAGCTTTTGTGGGTAGATTGAAAACAAGAATGAAAGCAAGCACAAGCAAAGTGGAACAGGAATGTGAAGACCAAAGAGCTCTCAGAAATGAAGACACCTCATTCAACTATCCCCCACTAAAGTCCATCGCTTTGTTCCTGTGGTTTCGCCTGGGTTTGTAGTACTAGATAAGCAGACTAAGCTGAAAGGAAGGAGGCACAAAGAACCTGCTAGGGGGACCACAGGCAGAAGCAGCAGGACTGGTTTTTGAGCTGCCTCCTGGTGGTTGAGGCCCTTAGCTCTCTGAAACCCAACCAAGATCACAAGCCAGAGCAGTGCCACCCCTACCCCCAGGAACATACATATTAGCACAGTTTCCAGAGTCCTCCCACTGGGAATTTCTTTGGAACAGAGCATTGGACATGTTTAAGTCACTAAAAGAGGGCACACACTCACCAGGTGCTTCGGTGGCTCAAGTGCCTTGCAGAATCACACAAAGTTCACCATTGCAAGTACTTTGGTTCCTGAAAACTCCAGCCAGGTAGAAGGTATATGTGCCCAGGTGTAAATTAGCTGCCACTGCAACCAATCCCATCCATCTTTTGTTTCTTCACTTAGCTTGCAAGGTCTAAACTGGACCAGAGACCACATTTTGCTCAACTTTGAAGGACAAGAGGCTGGGCCATATGTGAAGTGAACACTTCACACAGTGGCTGTATCGGTTCTTATGTTGCATGCACTTTTTATGAGTGAGTGTTGTATATTATATTGGAATTGTGCCTTGATGATAACTATATCCACAATACCTAGAACTAATTACTAATTACTAATCCCAAGTTGGTACTAATTAATATGTATTTAAAATATATAAAGCAATTTACTGAATAGATTTACATTTGTTCAGTTTTATGAATTTCATTATATTGCACAGTCAAAATTAATCTCATTGTTTGGTCTCATCCTTTAATCGGATAAGTTCATTATAAAATATTCATTTTCTCTCTCTTTCTGCCTCCCTCCCTCCTCTCTCTCTTCCTGTGTGTGCGATATGTGTAGATGTGTAGTACATGTGCACATACGCATGAAAGTGTGTATGCATATGTATGTACTCACCTGTAGAAGCCAGAGATTAATATGAATATCTTCCATTATTGCTCTATACCTTATCTTTTGAAACAGAGTCTCATAGTGAACCCAGAATTCACCTAGTGACTAGCTGACTAGAGAACTCCAGGATTACAGACCTTCCAAACTGGCTTTTATCTGGGTACCTGTTGTGGTTTGGATGTGAATGGTCCCCATAGGCCCAACTATTTGAATGCTTGGTTCCTGGTAGGTAGAAATTTTTGGGAAGGATCCAAGTTTTTGGTCTTATTGGAGGAAGTTTGTCACTGGGAGGTGGGTTTGGAGAGCTTAAAAGACTTGATAACATTTTAAATTTGCTCTCTCTCTCTCTCTGTTTCTAGCTTATATTTCAAGATGTGGGCTCTCAGCTTGCTGTTCTAGTCACTGTACCTGCCGCCTCAACTCAGTTTTCATGGACTCTTACCCTCTAGAGCTGTAAGCCCTAATCGACTATTTCTTCTGTAAATCACCTTGGTCGTGGTGCTTTATCACAACAATAGAAAAGTAACTAATAATTCTGCAAGTTTGTACAGCCACTGTGGAAATTGGTGTGGAGTTGCCTCAGAACTCTACCACTCCTGGGCATATATCTGAAGGAAAATATTTCCTACTATAAAGACATATGCTTATCCATGTTTATATCTACTCTGTTTACAATAACTAGGACATAGAAACAGCCTAGATCTCTATCAACTGATGAATGAATACTGGAAATGTGTTAACTATATACAATGGGATTTTGCTCAGCTATATAACCTATTCATTAAGCAATCACCAACAGTTACATGTAAGACTCTAAGTCCTTCTGAGGATAAAATGCTATGGAAATAATAACAATAAACAGCACAAATATTATTACCTTTCAAGATAGGGCTCATTTGATACTGGTTTGTTATTTTGTTCTTGTAAAATACTTTCATCTGTGTTTATGAATCTACTGAACTCTCTGAAAAGGGAGAGACTTGGCTTACCTGGTGTGTATTTGCTGCAGATCAGATATGATCATTATTCATAGAAATGGAGTTAATAAGGTACTGCACCATTTAATATTCACTTAATCAGAGTTATCCGAATACAGGTTTCTTCTTAAAAGTAGACATTGTAATTTGGTTATCTTGTTATCTTACAATTTGAATGATGGGTTTAGAAATTTTAATATGCAGTTTATATTTCAAGGTGGCTTATCATCCAAACAATAGGCTAACACAACAGATTTCTAATTTGGAGAAGAAATAAAACACTAAAAAATTTTAAGCCCTGGGGGCTTACACCGAATTTGAACAAACAAGACTAGTTTGCCTTCCACTCGGAATAGTGTGAGTAACCCTTTCCCTTTCCCACACCGCATTGCGCTCGGAAAAGAGCGGAGCACTTTAAGAGCTTCGCAGTCACGGAAAGAGCCGAAGGCAGAGCGTGACGCTGAAACCAAGCTTACGGAGGACTCGGGTTCTTCCGGAGAGCCCGGGACTGCGCTCAGAAGAGGAGGGCGGCTCGCCCGTGCGCTGCGCCCTCTGTCGACCAAGGGAGGCGTCCGTGGCGGCGGCGGCGGTGGCGGCGGCAGCGGCGGCGGCGGTAGTCGCTAGGAGGTTGACCGAGGCTGGAGCGACATTTAAAGAGGCAGCAGAAGCGCCTGAGAGTGCGGCTTCTTGTGGGAGGAATCTGACCCTTCCTCAGCCGGAGGAGAAAGCGGCCGCGCCGCGGAGCAGGTGGGGAGCGGGCTGCAGCCCGGGCTGGAGAGCAGGAACCCCCCCTGCGCCTTCCATGCCCTGGCCGCGCCTACGTTTGCATTCGCCTCGCTTGAACCAGGAAGCGGCAGAATCGGAGGCTCGGCTCCTAGGCTCTTTCTTTGTGTGGGCCCGGGAGCGCTGGGGGAAGAACCAGGAGGGCGCGGCGTGGTCCCCTTTGCTGTCCTGAACCGGAGCCGCCGGCACCTTGGGGGTAGGCCTCGGGGCGTGGGGGACCCCACCACAGCTACCCACTTGACTTTCCCTTTTCCCTTCTGCCCGCCTTTGCGGGTGGGGGTAGGGTGCTCTTTTTCCACCCACCACCTAATTTGATTAGACTACGCTTTTTCTATGGGCCCCCGTCGTCCTCTTAGGTTCCCAGCACGGGACACAACAATATGGACTGCTTAGCCTGGACCCCCCCCCCCCCGGCAACACCTTGCCTTTCAGATCTAGGCCTTCTACTTTCTCCAGCACCCCCCCATCCTCCCGCCTCTGCTCTATTTGCACCTCCATCTCTATTAACAAGAAGCTAGCTTTGCATGTAAATTGGCCTTTAAAACTCGATTGCATCTGAGTTCAAAGGAAGCGGGAGGTGGTGAAAGATCGTATCCAGCTGCTGCAGGGATCCCTGTGTTGGTTTGATTCACTCTGGCAAGTGGCTTTTATCTCTTCCCCACTTTCACCAGCCCTCTGAACCTGACCACAGCCAAAGATGCTCACACAATGGTGTAGGGTATCTTTCCCACAGTCAGGTTGCAAGTCTCTGGGGGAGGAAAGGTTTGAGACCCACTTGGGTTGATCCTGGGCCAATCCTGATAAGCAGGATGGCTACCTCAACAAAATGAAGCCAAGTCCCAGTGTCACCTGGACACCTGCGTTTGGAACATTCCGACATTGCAAAAAAATGCAAACGATAAAAATCATGTAGCCATATACAGACACTTATCCACTTAAAGATGGTTTCTGTCGAAATCTTCATATTTTTGGACTGTGGCACATTGTTCAAAGGTCATGCTTTGTGATGAATGCCTTTATGATAGCCTGTAATTCCTTGGTTCTGTTAAAATGGAGCAGGCAACATGTTTGTTAAAACCCTTGGCTTTTAGGCTTTTGCCTATAGTTTATTTTTAAGTTATGATGTTGGAATTTTTTTTTAATGCAGAGATGCTCTGCCAGCTGTGTGTGTGTGCATGTGTTACAAGTACTATGGCAGTGATGTTCTTCAGTAACTTAAAAAGGAAAGCATATTAATGACAAAATAATTTATTACCAGTGCTACTTGCAAGCAATAGTTAATGCATAATATCCACATGTAACACGTGTTTTGTGCTTATAAATGTTTTAATGTATGCACATGGTTTTTTTGCACTCTGGTCACACTGTTACCATGATATCTTTTGTGAAATGCAAGATGAAAGTGTTGGAAGTGTCACACAACACAGACACTTACTACCTTCTGTGTAGCAATGCTGCCTCTGTCCCAATAAGTTACTCTTCTCCTTTTCACTAACTCATTTGAAGAGTAATAAGTTCTTATACTAATGCACATAATTTCTTACCAACAAAATATGTATGATGTTCCCAGTTTTTAATGTAAGTAAACACTAAGAAATGGAATGCTTTCCCTTTCCATTTTCTTGTTCCTTCAAGAAAGTATGTGCTGACTTCTTGGTGCTCTGTTTAGCACTGCACCTCTGGAAAGTGTAAGGGTTGGGCATATAAGCGCAAGGAGTAGGTAAAGAAAAAGAATGGGAAATTGTGAGATAATAGTTGCCAGTATTGGTTATTGTCCTTGGCTCTAAGGGTTAACTTTTGAATATGATCTTACTAATAAGATTAGCTGAAATTAAAGAGATTGTAAATTTCAGACTTAATATTAAACACCCTAAACTGTTCTGGCGTTTAAATCATTCATTTTCAGAAGAAGTCATTTGTATGCTTTATGATGAAGATTTACCTTAAAAATTAATTCTTATCTCTCGAGGAATAAAACAAAATTGGGACTAAAAAGGTGAATTCTAATTTTAAAAGGGTGATTAGTGAAAGCACATTTTCCTGAATTTCATAGAACGGTGACCAAGGAGGTTATTGCTCGGATCTGCATAGCAATTGAAAACTATCTTGACTTTTCTCAGAGGAAGTCAGAAGATTTGACACATGGTCCAAAGCTAGTGTACGTAAGGAGCCTATTTAAAAGTCAAGATGGTAGACCAAACTTTGATTCAGATTTAAATAAACTTAACACTTTTGTGCCTTAAACTCTAAATAATCAAGTACTTTCAGTTTTTTCCTCCCTAATCACCCCTCCTCCTTTTCCCTTACAGGCATGGAGAGCAGAAAACTGATTTCTGCTACAGACATTCAATACTCTGGAAGTCTGCTGAACTCCTTGAATGAGCAGCGTGGCCATGGACTCTTTTGTGATGTTACTGTTATTGTGGAAGATCGAAAATTCCGGGCCCATAGGAACATTCTTTCGGCTTCGAGTACATACTTCCATCAACTCTTCTCCGTTGCCGGGCAAGTTGTTGAACTGAGCTTTATAAGAGCAGAGATTTTTGCAGAGATTCTGAATTATATCTATAGTTCTAAAATTGTCCGGGTTAGAGCAGATTTACTTGACGAGTTGATTAAGTCGGGACAATTACTAGGAGTGAAATTTATCGCAGAGCTTGGTGTCCCACTGTCACAGGTTAAAACCATATCGGGTACAGAACAAGATGGTACTGCTGAGACCTTACCTCCTAATTGTAGTGACAAAAACCTTGATATCCAAAAATCAAAGGATGAAGCCCAAGATAACGGAGCTACTGAAATGCCCATTATAACGGAGTCTTTTTCATTATCTGCTGAAGATTATGAAATGAAAAAGATTATTGTTACTGATTCAGATGATGATGATGATGATGTCATTTTCTGCTCTGAGATTTTGCCTGAAAAAGAGAATTTGCCAAGTAACAACACAATGACACAGGTCCAGCCTAACCCAGCCCCTGTTGCTATTTCAGAAGCGACACCTAGTGCTAGCAATAAGTCCCCTGCTTTAACAGACATCACACCTGCTCAGACGCTTCCCACGCCTGTAAATCAGGCAACTCTTAGCCAACCACAGGGAAGTGAAGAATTGCTGGTGTCTTCAGCTCCAACACATCTGACTCCTAACATTATTTTATTAAATCAGGCTCCACTTACCACACCACCAAATGTCAGCTCTTCACTTCCAAATCACATGTCCTCTTCAATCAATTTGCTTGTACAGAATCAGCAGACACCAATCAATTTACTTGTACAGAATCAGCAGACACCAAACAATGCTGTTTTAACAGGAAACAAGGCCAATGAGGAGGAAGAGGAAGAAATTATAGATGATGACGACGACACCATTAGCTCCAGTCCAGACTCAGCAGTCAGTAATACATCTTTGGTCCCACGGACTGATACCTCCAAAAGTACCACTCTGGATGGATTGTTGACACAGAAGGTGCAGACTCCTGTGCTTCTTCAAGAGCCACCTTCCAATTCTTTAAAGATTTCAGATGTCATTACTAGAAACACAAATGATCCAGGTGTAGGATCAAAGCATCTCACAGAGGGTCAGAAGATCATTACTTTAGATACAGCTACTGAAATTGAAGGCTTATCAACTGGTTGCAAAGTTTATGCAAATATCGGTGAAGATACTTATGACATAGTGATCCCTGTCAAAGATGACCCTGATGAAGGGGAGGCCAAACTTGAGAATGAGCTACCAAAAACATCTGGCAGTGAGCCATCAAACAAGCGCATGAAAGTAAAACATGACGATCACTATGAGTTAATAGTAGATGGAAGGGTCTATTATATCTGCATTGTATGCAAAAGGTCATATGTCTGTCTGACCAGCTTGCGAAGACATTTTAACATTCATTCTTGGGAGAAGAAGTATGCCTGCCGTTACTGCGAGAAGGTATTTCCTCTTGCAGAATATCGCACAAAGCATGAAATTCAACACACAGGGGAGCGAAGGTATCAGTGTTTAGCATGTGGCAAATCTTTTATCAACTATCAGTTCATGTCTTCACATATAAAGTCAGTTCACAGTCAAGATCCTTCTGGGGACTCAAAGCTTTATCGCTTACATCCATGCAAGTCTTTGCAGATCAGACAGTATGCATATCTTTCTGATAAATCGAGTGCTGCGCCCGTCACGAAGGATGATGCGACTGGGTATAAGGTTGATGCTGGGAAAGAGCCTCCAGTAGGGACCACATCTACTCCTCAAAACAAGCCAATGAACTGGGAAGGGATTTTTATTCAGCAGGAAAACGATTCCATGTTTAAACAGAATGTAACAGATGGTAGTACTGAGTTTGAATTTATAATACCAGAATCTTACTGAACTCCTTTGAAATATCAAAGTTTGGGTTGGATTAAGGGGCAGGGATTTTAGAAGACCTGTGAAACAAATTAAGGTGGAAACATGTTCATTTGATCTGTCATGTCATCTGAAAGTAGTTTAGTTGCATTGTTAATTTTTAGAAACATTTTTTTCTAAAAAATTGAGTAGAGACTGAATACCCCCTGAAGTATCTGTATAGTTTAGCTTTCAGCTCATTTAAAAGATGTAAGTTTTTAAAGGTGCAGAGAGATCGTTTCCTGAATAGAATTTGAAGCAGTTTAAATGTTCTTTGAGAATTACTGGAGTTACTAATATACCCCAGTACAACTTATACTGTTCCTCCTTCCATGTTAGCACTTTACTGCTGAATTTAAAATTTTCTTAACAGTAAGCCTAAGTGTGTTATGTCTTGTATACAGCATAAAAGATAGTGAACTTCTAAAACTTGTTCTAGTACATTTCAGAGTAAGTCCTAACGTGGTGGTTTGTTCTGTCAGTCCAAATGGAGATCAGCCTCCTGCCTCCCTCCAACTTGAAAATAGCCATGCAAACAAGTCTCTTCTATGAAGGATGAGTTAGTTCTAGCTAATTGGGAGTAGCCATTGCTTTCATTCCCATAGTCTGTAAGAGATTTTGATGACAAGGCCACTGTATACCTTTTTTATAACAGAAACTGTATGTGATATACTGCAGGCATGTTGGTTCCTGTTTATTTTGACAATATCACCTTTCTTTCCTTTAAGATGGCACATATATAAACACTTAGAGGAATTTAAAACTTACCCAAGAGTAGTAATAAAAGGAAGCAGGTTGGAACAGATATATAGCTTAGCATTTATAACAGATTTAACACAATTCTGTAAAAATTTAACCTAATTTTTTTGCAATGGAAGAAAGATACTGAAAATGGCTGCATTGCATAGTTAATAGTCATTTGTGACTTACATATTTCTTAGTTCAGTATAGGTATTTTCATTCTCCTTAAAGTGTCTTTTTTATCTATTTCGTGACTTTGAACTTAAAGCTTTAATCATGATTTTTCATGCATAGGTCATTCTTCTGGTGGTAAACTAGCTGTAAAGATTAAGTGTTTCTTAAGTTGGTAGCTGAGGGTATCAAGAATCAATAATACAATGAAAAAGGATAGCCCCTGCTTACCAAGTAGTAGTGTGCTGTACATTTCTGTTTTCTGTTTGGTAAGCTTAGGCCTTCAAACCATTTTGATAAACTTACTCTTAGAAAACTGAAAATCACCTTATAATTCTAGACTCTGATCTCTGTGATCACAGTATCTGTTTCCTTTCTCTGTAGATATTGGTGTTACTGCTTTTTTAGTATAGCGCATACTCAGAAATGTTCCCAGTTGAAATTTGAGTTTCATAAATACAGTTTAAGCAGTTAGAATTACTTCTACCTGTGTGAGCAATAATGATGTTGCAGTCTCAACTTATAGTTAAGTTAGTTTGCTGTGATAAAACTTGCTCCCTACAAACCTGTTATAACAAACTGGGAATAATGAAAAGCTCTCCGTTCTGAATAACATTGGTAAAATTATTTGTCACTGCTGCTGTACTCTGTACATTTTGAAGAAGAACTTACAAACTTTCTACTTACTGAACATAGTTCTGGAGTTTGCAGGGAGGAGAACTAGAAAGTTAAATTGTAATTTTGCCAGGAAGACTCTTAGATTTGTTTAGGGTCTTTGGTGGTTTTTGTATTTTTTTTAGTAAGTTTTCATATCCAAAGTTCAGAGTTTTGTGGGGTCCACCTGCCTCTGACTCCGTAGTGCTGGGATTAAAGTCATGTGCCACCACTGCCCAGCTCAAAGTTCAGAGTTTTTTGTGGAATGCTCCTTTGAACAAAAACTCTTTATGCCTAACCATTATTGGTTTGGAAATTTGTGGCAAGATGCCTTTTAAAACCTACTGTGAAGATTTTCGTTTTTGTTTTGTTTTGTTTTTTACTTACCTTTCTGACTACTGAATTTCCTATTTTTCTTTCAAGTTGGCTTTAATTTTATTCAAATGCTAAGTTACCTGTAGCTATTCTGGGTAGAATCTATTTGAAATAGTGTATTTGTTCAAAGAACAGCAAATACTTTGAAAGTCGATAGCAGTTTTGCAAGATTAACTGAGATACCATTGGTGGTCACTATCCTCTACAGAGTCACTGAAGAATTTGTTTTATTGGACTAAAAAGAAAATAAATGAACACTGATCTAGGCATTTAAAAGTGTCAGCATGGTATGTGTATTCTGAGGAATTAAATGCAAATTCAACAACACTGGCCTCCTTACCTCTGTTAGTCATATGAAACCTTGTTCATTTCCCCCAATACTGCAATGTTCATATTTGTACAATCTTCCTTACCATGACTTAAGTTCTGCTTTTCATTAACCATACTTGATATTAGTTCATAGAGTTTCTGATGGTGAAATAAAGCGTATTCATTCTAATTTTCGAGTGCATTTTTTACAAGATTATTGTGAATGAATCACATAGGGTTTCTATCCTATTGTTTTTCTGTTTGTTTAGTTCATAGCAGGAGAGAAGATGTATTTCTAATGACAGCGTGGCAGAAATTGTCATTAGGCCTTGTGTATTGGTTAAACATGTCTTATTTTTTCTTGAACCGTCATAGTCAAAAGTGAGTTGGCATTGCCGGTTGTTTTAGAATTCCCACTGTAATTTATACATAACATGAGAATGCCTGTAAGGGAGGAGGATAGTTTTATTAATTTGAAACATCACAAAAGCCGTCTGGGTTTCCAACATGGCAGTGATACAGATTTTAAGCAACATCTAGTTTATACAGGTTCTGAATTAATATTTTAATATTTCATGCCCAGTTCAATACTTTAAAGCAGAATTAGGAAGAAAGCAGTAAATGTTATAAAATGCAGTCAAGATACATCGGAATACAAATTCCTTCATTACAGCAAATGTTTTGCAGAACAGTGAAGCAGCAAATATTAATTTCTCCTAAAGTAACATGCACTTAATATAATTCAATGTAATAAAAAAATGCTCAAATTAAGTGTTACAAAATCTATACTGTTTCAAGTTATTTCATAAAGTAAGAAAAATACATAGAAATGAGTCATAGAATCTTAATACTTTAAGAAATGTGGTCATTGAAGATATACTTTGAAATGGTGCCTTTAAAAATATACACATTCACTAAAGCAAGGGGTAAAGTGTAAATGACAAAAATACTGTTAGATATTACAAGGTGATATTTGTATACTAAGTCAATTGATTATTAGTCCTGTTTTGAACTCCAATAGAATTTTATTATGTTCAGAATTGTAAAAATAACCTTAATTTTATATAACGTAAAAGGGTTGTGGTCTTTTGGATTTGAAGTCTGGATAGGACAATATGATGCTGAAAGTTAAACTGAATATTTTGCAAATATTTACCGTGAACAGTAAGTGCACCTGTTGTGCCTTGATTCTTGATGGCCAGGTGTCTACAAGGTAGATGGGAGCACCAGCATTTGTCTGCTACCTCTAATTGTCAGAGATGGGAGGCAGCGAAATGGGCTGGAAATGTTTCCAGTGTGTGTTCTGTGTTTGCAGAACTGTCTAATTAGACATCCTCTGTAGCTCCTGTACTTTTACATAATACAAGTGTAGGATTATCAGTCTTCTTTGAAACCAGTTCTCGGGTTAAAAGAAAATCCCAGTGAATGTGTTCATTCTGGAGTGAAGGCATGGGTGCCAAAGTGTTTTTAACTCAAAATCTTGATGGTTTAAAGCTCTGTGTAATTAAAACAACCGTGTAACTACCACATGTGCCAGATGGATTTTAAATGTGTAACACTTAAGAATTTGTCAAGTTGACTACATTTGAGGTCTTGAAGACTTGAAATGGCATTATAACTTTCATAATCTTGAATTGAATGCTGTCACAATTGATCTCAACAGGGAAAAAAGGACCAATAAGAGCAGTGACATTAAAATACAGATGAGTTTTCAAGGGTGGGGTGCAGGATCGTGCGGCTTGCTGGGGTTAAAGCACAATATCCGAAGATTAAATAGTCACAAAGATAAGTAACAATTCATATCACAACCCAATCTAATCTAGCATTTTTAAACTCTGAAATTCAACTGTAAGATTTATATCTTCAGTAGCAAATGTGTTTTGTAATAATGCAACATATAATAGAAACACTGTCTCCTAAGTTGTCAGATGTATACTGAGATCTACTGAAAACAGCACACGCTTGCTCTGTATTTCGGTGCTTCTGAATCAGCCAGTCCTGTTCTCCCCCGACTCAAGATGGGGGACTATTGCACTTTTCCCCTTAGGAGGTACCAGTAACAAAAGCTGAGCTGAATGATCACAACAGCAATTTTTACAAGACTTGGAGAAGAACAGAGTAAGATACGGGCAGCTTTTTTCATATCCAGACACGAGCAAACAAAACTCTTAGCCAGAACTTTTTCTGTATTAGAAATACTTCCCTTCTTGGAAGTACTGGGTTTGGCCTAGCCAATCCCGCCCTTCCCTGATAATGAATAAGCTTCATCCCTATTTTGCTCTAGCCTGGCAAGCTGTTGTAAAACAATGCGTAAGAGTCACACTTGAGATGTTGTACCCTACACACTTCCACTAAAGCAGAAATACAAAAGCCACAATAATCTCAATAGCTGACAGGTGCTTCTCTTTAAGGACTGTAAGGCGGTGGCTTTTCAAAGGGCGGGTAGTAGGGTGGAGAATAACGGGGCGGGGCGCTGGAGGACCACATGTAGCTGGGCGAAGGAGAGGCAGACTGGGGCTCCTGTTCATCAGAGAGTCCAGAGGGAGGGGAGGGGGGAAAAACACCGGAATGCTGTGTAATGAGGAAAAAAAAAACAACAGTTTAGGTGGTGAGTTTGCAACTCCTTCAACAGACATTACTGTTTAAAATGAATATAGGCCAAATCTGTTTCTGTTTCGAAAAATAGCTCCTAAATCTTACGGTGTCAGTGAGTGACATGACAACTCCGCATCCAGTCCCTGAGACTGCAAACTTCATGTGGAAAGTTTTAGGGAATCCTCTTCCTCTCTGCCTTGACCTCTACATCTAGAGATTTGATTCTGCGTGTGGCCTATTGAAGATACCGCTCCATTTTCTGCATGTGTCACTCGAACCATCAGTACCACTCTCCTAACCTATGCTCAGACCATTACAACTAGTCTTCCAAAAAGTCTGGGTATAAGAATGTTGGAGAGATGGCTCAGTGGTTAGGCGCACTGACTGCCCTTCCAGAGGACTCAGGTTCAATTCCCAGCATCCACATGGCAGCTAACAACTGTCTAACTCCAAGATCTGATACCTTCACACAGACATACATGCAGGCAAGACACCAATGCAAATAAAGTAAAAATAAACTATTAAAAATGTTGCATGAGGTTGAGTAATTAGTCCCTAGGAAAAAGTTTTCTGTGAGAATATGTCGTTGGGATGTCTAGGACTCCAGCCCATGTCATAGACTAAAACTAAGGTTAGACAAATCAGTTGGCTTGCGTGGCTCTCAGCCATAAAGTCATGTTCCGTATGAACTACTATTTCTTTCATGACCCACAAACTTACCATCGATCGGAAAACAATGGTTACCAAAGGCATGGGGCTGAGAAAGCCAATGATAGAATGAGGAGCAACATGTCAGTGTACAGAGACACTGGGGTTTCAATTTTGCTTTTTGGTTGTCTAACTTCGGGAATGGAGCAGATGTGGATTTTAAGAATTAGCCTAGGGAGATATGAAAAGTATAATATTAAGCAAGGTGTCCCAAACTCAGAAAGACAAAAACCTCATATTCTCCCTCATATGTGGAAAATAACCTGTAAAGAATGTGGGGGTGGGGTAAAGCCTGAAAAATAGGAGACGAAGAGAAGACAAAACCAGGTGACAAAGAAGGATGGGTGTGAAGGCGGACACATAGAACATGGAAAAGAAGAGATGGGGAAGACAGAGGGCATCAGAGATAGCAGGGTTGAGGACCTGAGTGGGGAGCAAAGTAGCTAAAACACATTTTGTTTGAAAATGTCATAGTATCTAATGCCTTATGTGCTGATCTAATATTTCTTACGTTTCCAAGTGGAAATGTGAGGCAGGTTAGATAGGGGTATTATGTCCATGTCTCTTCCTGTGTTTTTCCAAGTAATTTGCTCTTAAGCGAACTGACTTCTGGAGGGTGGAGTGCATGGCACAGCTAGCTGTCAACAGCTCCAGTGTGCAGTCCTGTCGCCATGGGCTCAATCTGAAGTCTGCCTGTTACTGAGTAAGAGATCTTGGTGCAGTTAATGAATCTGTTTATGCCCAGTGCTTTGTTTTTAATTGAGATTTGATATGTGGTGAGATGAATGAGCACTAGCTAAGCGAGAAACAGTAAAAACTCAGTATTTAAAAATATGTTAAAGTAACCAGTGAATTGCCATAATAAGAATCATTTGCCTCTCTCTCCCCTGGCCTATGGCCATCCATAACCCTAATAGTTTTTCTGTCCAGTGCAAGCTGGTCTTTTTCTTTTCACTGTTCTATTCCTCAGAGCTCAGAACAGTGCTTTGGAAATAATAAATGCTCAATAAATCTTGAATGACTGACCGTTACTTCAAGAGACTCTATTAGGCGACCTTGGCATGCCTTTTAAAAATAAAATCCATTTTTGGAGTCTACAGTCATACGATAGTAGGGCTAAGATGAGCTACAAGGACAGTAAGCGTTAGGAAACAAATTCAAGGTCTCAGAACAAAGCTGGTAAGCACACAGAATAGGAGACTGTAGGTATTCTAGTGTATCTGGGCTCCTTGAGGATCTGGTATGTGTTTTTAGAGCCAGTGACACTAAATTTTCTCAAGAGCTCAAGTGCTAATTCAACAAGGAGGCGAGGTAGGGGAGGGCCACATCTTTACTTGGTCTAGCCAGAGTTTGAGTGGATCACATCATTTTTCCGTGCTTGTAGCAATCTCAGGCCAACCCTGGCATGAGACTTCCAGAGCATGAGACTGATTGGCAGAGCCTCATTTCCATGCTAGACCACCACACTCCTTCCTGGGAAGGCACTGTCTAGATTTCTAGGTCCTGTATGAGAGACTGCAATATCTGCATCGCATCATGTTAGGAGTAAGGAGAGTAGCTTGGGAATGAGTGAGTTACAGAGTTTAGAGAACATTTAAGGGTAATACAACTCTAGAGAGTGGGCCCAAGAAAAGCAAGATGTCTTTCTAAGTCTGAAGTGCCCCCTCCCTCCAAGGAGATATGCTTTATTAAAACAGACCAGTTGTGTGTTGTTTAATAACAGGTGTGTTCTGGGGGGAAAAACACATTGCTAGATCATTGAGCAAACTAGTTCACTTAAGTAAGATGACTATGGTGTCACTCCTGTCATTATCCCACCCTAACCAAGATGAAGTTCACCCTCTAATGTGAGTTAAAATAACCCCTTCCTAAGCTGGGTGTGGGTGA